AGAAGACCCTGCTTTAGTTTTTTGTTTTGTTTTTTAAAGTTAGCTCCCAGGCAATTTTGTGTGCAGCCAGGGGTTGAGAACAGCCCTGAGCCTAAACTTCTAGATTCAAGTTTAGGATATACGCTTCCATTTAACTAACTGGAGACTTCTGGGCTTTTGTCTTCAATTCTCGTACTCTACAGGTGCCCTGCCAGGGTGTGAGCTCCCCCTGGTCCAACATGGAGATTAGCGTGGCTGTAACCCCCACCCAGGCAGCACTGAAGGAATTGCGAAGACACCCAGATAGAACAGCAAAGTGGGATTATCGGGGACCCACGGCATTCCGAGCCGAGAGCCTCAAGAGCTGATAGCATTCTGGGCTGAGGGCCTTAGGTAGACGCTGACCCATGTATTTATTCTCTCTGAACAGGTGAGGCTTATTAACAAACAGGTGTTGTATGTTTTCTCGTAGAACCAAGATAAACTAGGTAGGCAGCTGGTGCCTGTTTACCACTGATCAAGGACAAATCAGAAAGTACTCTCCACGAGGGAGCCCCGGGGGCAGGTCACATGTCCCGTGCTTAAAGAATTGTTTTAACTGGTGTATGATATACTGTTTTGCTACTTTAGAATGCCCCAAGCAGTTTTCCCCTTGGTGTGGGGGCAGGGGGTTGGGGGCTTGGGAGGTGGCTAGGTTTTCCTTGCTGCTGTTCTTAGCAAACAATGTATTTTATCTTACACTCAGCATTTCTCGAGGCTCCAAGGGCCATAACAGCCTGCAAGGAAAGCACCACCCCTGCCTACGCGACACCTGCGGCGTGGTGCGAGCTGGGTAGGGGCACTTTGGACTGGTTCTTCGGCAAGCAGAAATGCTCTCAGCGTGGGAGACATTTCCAGGATGCCCTACCCTAGCCCCAGGCCCTCGCTGTCCAAACCAAGAGCACTCACGAGACTGGCCCAAAAGCGGCCTCAGGAACACTCCCGCTCATCAGCATGGGGCCCTCTCTTTCTTAGTAAGTGCAGCAAGACAAAACAAAAAACCTTAAAAGTCTTCTGGGAAAAATTCAAGTCTTGTTGAATTAAGATGAATTCGTTGTTATAAGTATTTGCAATGCTACATTTGCCCACTTTTCTATAAATCACAAAACTCTTTAATGACAGCTAATCTATATGGAGAGAGAAAGAGGAGAGAGCGGAGCCAGTGAGTCAGGCACTGTTTCAGGAGCCTCACATGGGTTAATGTATTTCACTGTGTCCACAACCCTATGGGGCAGGCATTTTTTGTGCCCATCTTACAGATGGGGCAAGTGAGGACCAGAAGACTTGCCCCAAGGCACGCAGCTAGTAAGTACCGGACCTCAGATTCGGCCCCTGACCTCTGCAGGGCAGTGGTGCTGAGAAGAGGAGGTGCCGAAATGGAGAATGTGACTATTATTTAAGAGAGTTTCTTAAGTGGTGTCCTCAGAGCCCCAGCCCCAGTCAGTTCTGCTCTGGGAGCCACTTTTCCTTTCCGAGGCCTGACTCTCCTCTTCAGCAGCCGAGATAAGCAGCGCCTGCTTTCGGGTGACCCTCTCTCCTCTGTGCACCTGCCCAGGCCTCCAATACCAACTTTCTTCTCTATTCTTTCTGGTTCTTGAGCACTGAGGGTTTGACCTGTGCAGAGTTAGGGTCTGTTTGTTCTCAGGGAAGAGAAGAAAGCTTTCTGGAAATATCAAACCAATTTCTGCTGGGACAACACATGAAGCTTGAGACAAAAACAACAACAACAAAAAATAGCAACAAAAGAAAAATTGGAGTAGGCTTAGAAAAGACGAAGGACCCACGTGAGGCGAGGGATGCCCTCTGTCTTTTGGATTCTGGGAATGAGGAGGACTTTCAGCTCCAGCTTCTAAGGGTGGCCGGAGGACACAAAGGACCCTCACTCTGCAAGGCTTTGGGGAGTCTCTGAATCCCAGATTCCAGAGGATACGGGGCCTCAGTGCATTTCCTCAAGGAAGATGATGGTTTGCACAGAGCCCTCCCCGAAGCCTGTGACCCTGTGTGGCCACCTCAGGGTCCTGCCTCCCCAGGAGGTGTCCTTTATCCCGTTCCCTCGCCAGCATCCTCCAGGTGCCACAGACCCACCACTCAACCTCAGCTCTAGCTAACCTATATGGGGGCGGGGGGGGGGAGAGTTTTGTTGCTGTTTTTTGTTGTTGTTGTTTTTTTTTGTCTCAAGCTTCATGTGTTGTCCCAGTAGAAATTGGTTTGATATTTCCAGAAAGCTTTCTTCTCTTCCCTGAGAATAAACAGACCCTAACTCTGCACAGGTCAAACCCTCGGTGCTCAAGAACCAGAAAGAATAGAGGAGAAAATTGGTATTGGAGGCCCGGGCCTAATTCCACCTCTGAAGTGTGGCTGTGAGGATTACCTAAGAGAATGCTCAACGCTTATAAAAGGTCAACATTCCAGAAGGCTCCACAAAGTCATAACAATAAAAAAAAGCACAAGTGGGGCCCTTGCTCGTCACCACTCTCCTCACACCAAGCGAAGGAGGCGGTCACCACTGCA